GCTGGCTCCCCACAGCCACTGATCCAAGAGAAAATTGATAGCATACCGTAAATCACAATGTCTTTTATAATTTAGCATCAGAAGTGACATATCATCACTTCTGCCATAATCTATTTAGTCACACAGACTAACGTTGATTCAGTGTGGGAGAGGACTACACAACGATGCAAACACCAGGAAGGAGGGATCATTAGGGGCTTTCTCAGAGACTGGCTACCACAAATGGGTTAGAAAAATTTGGAGAAGGAAGAAGAAATTTTAGGATTTGAAGAAGGGAAATGGAGGAGACATTAACCATATGCCTATTATGGGCCTGGCCCTTTATAGCAAGTTATTAGTCTTTTCCAGAACACTGAGGGGTAAATATTCTCATTTTTCATATAAAGGAATTGAAACTTGGAGAAAATAAGTGTCCAAAATTAAATCCAGTAATTAGCAGAGTCAGGACTTATTGCATTGTTATGTGTGCCACTTCAGTTACATTTAGTATGTACCAAAGGGTAGGATATGTGCTACTGATGGTATGAAAAATAATTTTAGTTAGCATAGAGTACCTATTCAACCAATATGCTACAGGAGTTTTTAAAACATGTAATACTGACTATTTAATCTGCAGCACTGACCTCTTTTCCCTTAGGTTGTCAAAAAATGACAACCGCCAACATAACAATAGCTGTCTGGTGTGAATGAATAAAAATTATACCTATTTCTTTTGGTCACATTGGCAAAAAAATGTATGTTTTGGTGTACTGCAGAATTTTAGCAATTAGTTTATATGTGCCATGAAATGAAAAAGGTTAAACATTGCTGGTATAGAGACACAGCAGTGAATAACATTGAAAGTATAAAAATTAAGTGCTTTTCAATCTTCTGATTATGTAAAGAGAAAGCTTCAGTTTGGAAGACTCATGCCTTATTACTTCTCTAACAGTTGGTACTTTCTGTTTTTAGGAAAGAGAGGGCAGACCCAAAGCTTAGCATCTTTAACAATGGTGCTTTGTGGTAGAATTGAATAATATTTCATTTGGTAGAATTTAATATTTTATTTTTATTGTATTTATTTTTATAGTTACTTTCTATTTGTGGGCAAGTGATACCCATTTTAAATATACTAAAAGAATAAGAGGTTTGAGTTATATGCTTTTTTAAGACTGCTACAAAAAAAATTGAATAGTAGTTCATATGATATTTGTGTATGATATATATTTTGAGGATGGCACTGACTGAGGTTTATTGCCTTCCCATTAGTTCTTTGTTCAGGGGACTTCATTTGAAGTCCCAGCCTCACGTGGATTCTGCTATGGGAACTAAGTGTAAAGAATCACAAGTTAAAATTCACTACCAATTCTTTCCTGTGATGTTTCCTAAGCATTTTTCCTTCATCCAATTCATTCCTCAGGGCTGGTGGGGAGTTTTGTAGATTACTTAATGGAGTTTAGTAAGAGAATCAGTTTAGTGGGAAACTTACTTGTGAAGCCTATTAAAAACCGGGTGTGGCTGGTGGAGACAGTAAGTACAGTGGGGAAAAGGACACATGTATTTCCCCATCTATTAGTACCCGATCCGTAACAACACCGTAGTTTGTGATGTTACGGGTCCTCCAGTACTTCCAAGCCATTTTATCTCCACATTTAAAGTTTCTGTGCTGGAATGGACAGGACCAAAGTTTTAGAATATGGCTGCGAATTTTTATATTAGAGAGGTTTGGGTTGGGGGCACAATGTGGTTGGAAGTGGGGTTCGTAAGTTGCGCTTGTATATGAGTTTACATATGTGGACAACTCAAGTGACTAAAAAGGTGGTGTGGTATTTTAACAGCGCCAAATTTAGTCCCAGAGTCCTGATAACAGAAAACCGGCTGGACCATTTCTGAGCCCCCAGAGCCCGCCCCCCCAGTAGTCGCTCTGAGAGACTTTGCCAAGGTCCCAAACCGTCTCCCCATGAGGTCACTCTTCTAGGTCACGTGCTCAAGCTCGCGGAAGCGCCACATCGCCAGCCGCGCCCCTCCACCCCCACCCAGCCACGTGACCCGGCCTACTTTTTCCCCCCCCGCCCCCTCCCGACCAAAAGCTGTGCTCGGGAAGCCCCGCCCCACCCAGCGCGCTAGGCGGGCGGACCTCCGCCCATTATCTGCCCAGACTCCAGCGTGGCCGATGGCCCCACGTGTTCCTTTCTGCCCAATGGGAGCTGGTGCCCGTGCGCGAAGGGGCGGTTCCGAAAGAACGACTCCTTTACGCTGCGAGAAAGGGGCGGAGCCCGTAACGTCGGAGTGAACGAGGGGACGCAACGGAGGCAGGCCGGAGCCGCTGCCGTCGCCATGACCCGTGAGCACTGAGACCACTCTCCCCTTGCCCTCTTTCCTCTGTCCACCGTAGACACGACTACCTAATCCTGGCATTGACCTCCTTTTGGCTTCTCCTGAGGGGTCTTTTTCTGGGAGGGCTGTTTAGCGACCCTCACACTCGAAGCCCGGAAATCGGCCCTTTGCCCACCGCTACTTCAGGAGTCGTCCCCCCGACCCAACCCACTGGTCAGGCAAAGGGCCATCCCTACCTTCCACGGTGTGGGGAGAAGCCCGCATCTGGGTGAAAGGCCCAGTGCCCCCCACTCCCATTTTTAGCCCATCCCCCACAGAGACCGAAACCGTTCACACACACCACCACCTGTCTGGGCCCCCACACCGCCCCTAAACTCGAAACACGCCTCTAACAAGCTCCTCGGGACCGCCTTTCCTCCACTCCTCTATTTGCTCTGCCCCGTGGCAGGCAGCTCGGCCCTCTCAACCCTGCCCCCCTTTCCCCCCCCCCGCCCCCATCAGCCTAAGCCCCAAAATGGGCCGGTGTTGGGACCCGGGGAATGAAGCCTTGGACTCTACTGGTGTCCGGGTGAGGTTAGGGAGTCGTCAGTGTGTGGCCAGAAAGGCCCCAGCGTCTCACCTTTTACCTCCTTTCTTTAGGTGGTAACCAGCGCGAGCTCGCCCGCCAGAAGAATATGAAAAAGCAGAGCGACTCGGTTAAGGGAAAGCGCCGAGATGACGGGCTTTCTGCTGCCGCCCGCAAGCAGAGGTAGACCCTGGGAGGGGAGGGAAAGGGAGGGACGAGACTTGGGTTAGACCATGGGTTGTACCAGAAAAGAGCGCTACCTCAGGGCTTACATCTGGACTACTCGTGAGGGGCAGAGTGTATTGCTTCCTCTAGGGTTTTATCTCTTCCCCACGCTCCAAATTGTTAGTTCACTGCTTTACAGGAAGGGACTGGGGCGGGTGCCTGCTCTAGGTCTGATTTCTGAGTGCCCCTGTGTCTGACCTTAAGGGCAAGGGCAGGGAGCTTCACATTTCAAATGCATTAGTGGTTATGACAGCCCTGTACTTTTGCCCCTCCTTGCTGTTCATTTCTCCTCCCTTCTCCCAGCATTTTCACTGGTGTTGCTGGGTGTGGTACTCAGCACAGACTAGCCTTGTGTGGCCAAACCTCTGACCCCTTGGGCAACAGCCAGGTAGAGACCCGTTGCCTTTTTTGAGCTCCAGCTCTCTTCCTTTTATTCTCCTAGGGTGGGAATACAGCAGCCACACGCTGAATTTTGTCCTGTCCACTTCCATCTTGTCCTTTGTGCCCTTTACCCCCCTGCATCTTGTCCCTTTTGCCCTCTGGTACCTCCCAGTGCCCCATCATCTCTACCCCCAGGGACTCGGAGATCATGCAGCAGAAGCAGAAAAAGGCAAACGAGAAGAAGGAGGAACCCAAGTAGCTTTGTGGCTTCGTGTCCAACCCTCTTGCCCTTCGCCTGTGTGCCTGGAGCCAGTCCCACCATGCTCGCGTTTCCTCCTGTAGTGCTCACAGGTCCCAGCACCGATGGCATTCCCATTGCCCTGAGTCTGCAGCGGGTCCCTTTTGTGCTTCCTTCCCCTCAGGTAGCCTCTCTCCCCCTGGGCCACTCCTGGGGATGAGAAGGTTACCCCTTCCCAGTGTTTTTTATTCCTGTGGGGCTCACCCCAAAGTATTAAAAGTAGCTTTGTAATTCCTTGAGCGCCTGGTTTGACTGGGGATTTGGGGGGATGGGGATGGAGGAATGGCTGCCCGTTCCCATGAAAAGGGGAGAGAACTTTAAATTTTTAAAGGTTTTGGACATGTAGCCTATATGAAACATCAGAGGAAAATTCTTTATGATTCTACAAGTAGGCAAGTACTTTGGGAATGTGGTAGAAGAATCTTCTAAGAACCATAGGGACTTATTTTCTGTAATTTTTGTCCCCCACCCAGACCTTAAACACCATCCCAGGGATGGAGTTGAGGGCCTAAGAAGGAAGGCTCCAAGACCCAAGTTTATGCCCCTCTTCCTTATTCTTTCTCAGTTTGTTTGCCTGCTTGAACGTTGGCCCAAAAATCCTGCTGCGCTGACTTCCCACAGTCAGCTGCTTTCAAGTGTTCACATTCTCTTTTTTCATTCCTCATGGAGTGAGGGTGGTTGTTGTCTTCCCACTTACTTTGACCTCAGGATCAGGATTAAAACCTAGGGAAGTGTCTGTTCTTTTCTTCCTGTGTCCCGGTTTGTTCTGGGCCTCTGGGCTTCTTATATCCCTGTTCCCAGGACTGAACTACTTGTTTCTTTTTTTTCCTCCAAGGGCAGAGCCAAGTAAGTCTTCAGTCCCTTATTGGTCTTTTCCTCTGCTCCCATCTCCACCATGAGAGCCAGGAAAGGGCTGTTGTCACACTGTCTGCTGGGGACCGTAGTGGTTCCTGAGCTGCTGACTTGGGAGTTAGGCTCTTCATTAGGACGAAGATGTAATGGTAGCGTTAGTGAGTCAGAGACTTGCCCAGGGCATTGGGGTATATGTAGCCACTTTGTCCAATTCAGATATAATACTGACTTAAGCCTAAACAAGGTAACTGCCCATTATGTCCTTGAAGTATTGGCTGGGCTGAAGAGTTACCTTGAACCAAGACAAGAGCACAGTCTCAAGGGAACCACAGTTTTGTTAAAAGTATCCAGACTGGATGTTTGCTATCTGGCAATACTAAAACGATGGAAGTGTCACCTAAAGATAGGAGGCTTGAGGTCCTGGGTGGGAGACCAATAGAGTGGTGCCAGTAACAGCTCCAGGTAGAGGAGTGCACAGGCCCAGCATGAGGCAACCTTGACCCAGAAAGTAGCCCAGCTACCCTTGGTGAAGGTCTTTTCCAGTTCTGCTCCCTCATAGCTGTGAAACCAAAGACTGGTTAGAAAGTGTATAGACCTGTCCTTCCTTCCCACCAGATTATGGCAGATCCATGTGTATCTCCTGGAAACCTTTGGGACTGGCCTTGAATGGCTCTTTCCCTAAAATAGCTAGGTTTTCATGAGTATCCCAGGCCTACCTCCATCCTGCCTGAACCAGTTGGTAAGGGTAACCAAGACTGCGATGCAGGGAAGAAAAGTGAAAGGCAGAGTAGCTGTAGGAGAGACCCTGGGTTTGCACTGGAGGAGCTGGAGAGGTCCCTTGGTCAGCTGGCCTGGTGGCTCCTCCCTTTGCCCTGAAGAGAGGGAGGGGCTGCTGGGCCCAGTACTGCTTAAAGTACCTCTTCACTCCCCTGTCCCCAAGCTTTTGTGAAGCCACTTAAGGGCCCTTCGGCGCTGCAGAAACCTACACTTTCTTAATGGATCCTTACTTGACACTCACCTTCCTCTGGCTCCACTGTTTCAAGGCAACAGAAACAGAGTGAGGGCTTCTGTTTAAAAAAAAAAAAAAGCATGTTTTGGAATGACTTTGAAAAGAATGTGAAGATATTAATATAGGAAACTGTCTTTCATTGAAAAGTTAATTTGGTGTAAGAAGTAGAGGCACACCTGGGTTCAAATGCTAGCTCCCGCATATAACTGGCTATGGGAATTTTGGTAAGATGTTTTAATCTGTGCCTCAATTTCTCCATTTGTAAAATGGAGCAAATACCTACCTCACAGGGTTGTTGTGAGGATTACATTAAATGAGATTATGTATGTAAAGTAGCACAGTGCCTAGCACATTGTGGGTACTCAATAAAAGGTAATAGCAGCTAGAATCTGAGCTTTCTGGGTAGAGATTGATAGGGTGTGTGAGTGTGTGTCTCTGTCTGTATGTGAGGAGGGTGGGGCGTTGGGAATATTGAGCTCTCCCTTCTCACCTGGAACTCATAGCTGTAAACCTTGATGATCTGTCTACAAGGGCCCAAATACCTCAGCTAGGTAACTGAGAAAAAATACAGTTTTCAAGCAATTTCAGCTAAATAACAGGAGTGATTGTTTTAGGGCATCTACTGCCAGGTTGTCCATATAGGTAACTCAGGACAGTGTTGTGATCCCAGAACCCCTGTTCCCCCAAAGATTTAGAAATCTTCATATGAGGGCCCTAAGATACTTATATTTTAATTTTCAAGTCATTCCCTCTGACCCCTTCTCATACAGATTATCTGACAAGTGATAGTCTTAGAAAGTGTTTCTGTTAATGGGGAGCTTTCCTCTTGTTTTGCTTTAAAGTTTAAATAAACATGGTCCCAGACAATCTGACCATCCTTCTCCCATACCTCTTAACACTTCTACGCACAAGCAAATAGCACACAAGCATACAAGTTGCCAGCACCCAATGCTGCCAGGGAAGTAGCTGGTGTTTGGGGTTCCATTTAACTTGGGCCAGGCAGGCACAGGGTGTGATTCTGTCCTTGAAGGATTACTGAGAATGGGTAAGAAAGGAGAAAAGTGGGAATAACAAGGTATTTGGCAGGAGGAGGGAAAAAAAAATTTTAGCATCTGGAGTCCAGGTCCTGTTCTTACCACTCTGGAGGTTGGCTGGACAGTGCAGAGAAAGTCAGGTATATGATGTAACAGCTGATGATAGAGGCTTATAGAAGGCCAGAGCAGTGTAGCTCTGGGAAGAATGTGGGTCATGGCTTTAGTCTACGGGGTAGTAATTTCCTCCACTCCTACCCCCATCCACACTTTTGTCTCCTCACCCTTTGGGGGAAACAGTTGACCAAGATTAGGGAAACTAATGAAATTTGCTGTACTAGAGTCCCCCAAATCTAGGATGTTGAAAGGCATGTACCCACTGAGGTGGATACAAGGAGAAATGAAGAGGAAGGAGAGGCAGCTACAGAAACAAAGGTGTAGACACCTTTGTTGAGGCAGCCAGCTGGGTGCATGTAGTGGTGGAACAGAAACACAGCTGCCACACCTGCCATGCTGTAAAATCCTGGGGTGGCCAGCAGCATGGCTAGGAACCAGTGGCAGTCTTGGAATGCCCCTGTTTGCCTAAGGGTGGAAGGTGGGTAATGGCTTAGGGCTCCAACTTTTTTCTGTTTACCCGTTACCAACTAACTCTTCCATTCTTCCAGAAGACTGGTGTGACTACCTGTTCCATCTGGTCCACAGAGTTACTAGATTCCTGAGATTTTTTGATACTGGTCAGTGGTAAGTTAGGAGACCATTGACCAAGCCCACTGGGTCTGCTAATGTCAGACAACATTCCCAGGAGGAGCCTTTAGAGTTATGTACTCCTTACCAGTTCTTACTCCAGGAATGGGCAAAGGCTGTGATAAGCACCAGCTGCAGCAGGATGAATGTAGAGCCTCTGCAGATGCCAGTGTGGGGCACCACACTGGCTGCATGTGGGGCACCAGTGGGAAAATGTAGCTCATCATACTACTGGTTCTCTTTATACCCTTTTTCTTTTTTATTATTATTTTTAAGTTCTCAACCAAGGATATGTTTTACTGATTTTTAGAGAGTGGGAGGTGGGGGGGGGGGGAGAGAGAGAAACAGATTGGTTGCCTCCTGTACATGCCGTAACTGGGGATTGAACCTGCAACCCTTTGGTGTACATGATTACACTCCAACTGAGCCACTTGGCCAGGGCTATCCTTTATTTTTCCTTAAAAAAAAAAAAAAAAATCTTAGCCTACTGATCAGGATGTGAGATGCAAGGTACCTGGAAAGAGACGCTCATCAGGGATGCAGAAAGCAACAGCACAGAGACCTAGCAGGAACAGTAGCTTGAGGAGCCAGAAGCTGGTTAGCAGGGAAAGAAAACCCAGACTCAGAAGAAAAGGCAAAGGAGAGTGAAAAGTGCCTATGGAGGAAGGCAAAGGAGAAAGGACTAGGAAAAGAAGAGAAACAAGTGTAGGTAAGGAGGAACCAGTTCTGTGGGGGAAGGGCTGGAAACAGGCCTGTCACAGCTTATTCCAAATTACTGTGCTCAGATACCTAAATAACACCAGGACAGCATTTTACCGTTGACACAGGGTTTGCACCATTGACAATGAGGTTTGCCTTTAACTCCACTGTTGACCTGCATTTTAGAAACTTTGAAGTTCAAAGAGGTTAACAGTGTGGCTCATGGTCACACAGCAAGTGATTTAAACCTGTTTTCTCTCTTTACAAGCTATTATTTCCTCTTGGAATTTCCTTTAAGCTTATGTCTACTACCCTTCCCACCATCTCACTACCCAAAGAGTACACACAAACCTATTATGCAGCTGTGCCTGCAGGCTGGGACAGTGGAGTGGAGGTGGACCAGCAGCACAGCCTGCACCAGGTGGAAGGTGGTGGTTCCTGCACAAACTGGGTACACAGCTCCAGAGCCACTAAGCACTGGGCAGTGAGAGTGGCCAAACAGATGGGCACACAACCCTGAGGGCATCTGGAAGGGAGGACAAGTCGTCATGCATAGAGAGGTACTTCTCGTGTATTGATGCTTGTCTCTGTCTCCAATCTGAATATCTTGTCAGTGCAATGTGATCCCCTCACACGTAAACCATGTGCCTTACCCCAGACCCTCTCCACTACCGTTCTTGACAGGAGGCAGCAGACTGCTGAGGCCCCTATGTGGAGGGGGATGTAGAACAGATGGCTATAAGTGGACTCTGAGATGAGGCCACCTAGGATGGCAGCAGCAGGTACAGGGAACATGCTTACAGCAGGACACCTGTGGGTAGAGCAAAGGCAGGGCAGTAAGGTAGAGATTTGCTGAGGAAAGGCTTACATTAATTCTTGTGTGAATTAAAACCATGAGGTTGAGTTCCAAAATTCCCCCTTTCCCTTTCTTTCAAGCTACTTAGGATTGCCTTCCACTGACATCAAGTAGAGCTTTCATCAAAAGAGCTTACTTGCTGGCCCAAGCAGACCTTAAAAGCCTAAGTCACACTTGGTCTGTAACCTTTCCCTGGACCTAAACATCTGGTACTGGGAAGTTGGGAGAAGAGGTTTAATGATCAAGAAGTCTTAGAGGCAGAGAAGCAGAAGGGCCTCAGAAGGGGAAGAAAGGCTTATCTCTATTGGCTCCCAGGGGTTTTCCTCCCCAGCTTCAGCTACCATTCCCTTCTACTTTGTCAGATGAGCTGTTTGCTAGGGAGCTCTCAAGCCTCTGCCCAAGTACTCTTTCACTTGATGGAGGTTTCACTATGACACTGCAGACTCCACTGAGTTGCTACGTAGGGTGAAGGGAAGTGTTGGGGCCTGCGATGGCCTTTTCACCCACCATCCTCGTCCCAGGAATTAGATCCAGATCCACCAGATGGAAGGTAAATGAGAAATAGATCACTTTTGTCCTCAGCCCATTGGACTGCCCCTATGCTGGGGCTGGTCACCAAATCTAGGGCAGAGGTTGGAGGACCTTAAGGAAAAGAATGCAGACCTTCAGGATGTAGGATGTAAATGCAAATATCCCTGCTAAGCAACTTTATCCTAAGGGCCCTTAAGCCACGCAGGCTGTTCTCAGATTAGGGAACAGTTTGCATGTGGCCTCCTGTGGGTTAACATTCCTAATTGGTTTAGCATTAAACATCACCATGCTGGTTGAAGGAATTCCATGGGTGTGTGTCGGGGGACTGGGAAGGGTGATGGGAGGGATCCAGGTATAGAGGAGGGAAGGATGTGTGTTGGGAAGGTCTGTAGTGGTGACTGGTCAGGTCTGGGAATGGGCGTTGCTGAAAAATAATACTGTACAACTCAAAAGGAAGTCTGACAGGCGAACCTCCTTCCTTGCTGAAGCTTCTAGAACGAGAGCATTAATGAAGGTGTGGCCCAGGGACAGCCCTCCTCCTCCTCTCAGGGCGGATGTTGTGGCGCATTACCGGAAGTTGTGGGGCGGGGCCGAGCCTGTGCAGCAGCGCGGTTGGGTGACATGGCGACTGAGGGAGACGTGGAGCTGGAGTTGGAGACCGAGACCAGTGGTCCGGAGCGGCCTCCTGAGAAGCCACGAAAGCATGACAGTGGAGCGGCAGACCTGGAGAGAGTCACCGACTATGCGGAGGAGAAGGAGATCCAAAGTTCCAATTTGGAGACGGTGAGGTTGGCCGGGAGCCTGTCTGTCTAATCGGGCTGAGAGCGCAGAGGGGGCTCGGAGGCTGTAACTGGAAGGCCCGCTCCAGGAAGGAGTCTCGATCCCGATGGCGGGAGGAGGCAAGAGGGAAGCCAAACTATCACTGGGACCCGCGGCTTGCCGAAAGGAGCTTGCTGGAGGTTGGGTTCAAAGTGGGCCTCAGGAGCGCAAAATTGAATTAAACTGGACTTGGTTCCTGATAAACTCATCAAGTACACACCTGCCTCGCTTGTTAATGTCTTTTTATATTAGGGCTTGTAGGTAGTAGAGTAGTAACTAGATGTTTTTCCCATAGGCCATGTCCGTGATTGGAGACAGACGTTCCCGGGAGCAGAAAGCCAAACAAGAGCGGTAAGTCTTGTGCATACAGCCAGTCCTACCAGTCCCTCTTTTTCCTGGCAAAAATGAAATCTGTGATTAAGCCTTTGTAATGAATACCTTGTGCCATTTTTCAACTCTCTCCAGTTCCTGTAAGTCTAAGGTTTACAACTTTATTGTTGGTAGAAGGAAAGGCCTCCTGGCAACAGCTACTGCCTGCTCTTAAGACTCCAGGGGAGAGGGTGGGAATGTCCTTTTGAGATGGTGGGAGTCATTTTGTATTTAACTCAACACTGTTTATCAAGTCATTTATTTGTAAGGCCCAACTGGAAATGATTCTTCATGGGAGTTTATGTGGAGGTAGAGAATGAAGACTAATGTACATGAATATTTGTAGGGAGAAGGAACTGGCAAAAGTCACCATCAAGAAGGAAGATCTGGAGCTGATAGTGAGTAGTGATGCCTAACTAATGGGTAGGGGAGGTTACTTTGCCTAATGTGGGTTGTTTTCAGAAACAAGTAGAGTCAGCATGTTTTGGTGGCAAATTAATGCTGGAGAGGAGGCTTAGGTAATGTCATTGATCCTTTTCCTGCAGATGACAGAGATGGAAATCTCACGAGCAGCAGCGGAGCGGAGCTTGAGGGAACACATGGGCAACGTGGTAGAAGCTCTTATTGCTTTAACCAACTGATTTGTCCTTTTTCAGACCTACCCACTGGATTAACTTATTGCAATAAAGGTGTCTTTTTTTTGCAGTTTTATCATTTTGGATCAAATGCAATGTATATTGTATTTTATTGTGGGAAATGTACATATTGGAGTATAACTGAATTTAAGTGCCCCCTACCTCACAGCCCTTTATGAACCTATGTGAAAATAGTTTAGAAGAGCATCTCAGGTTCAGGTGCAGATGCCAGGTGGCACTCATCAGACTAGATCTCACTCAGCAGTATTCAAGGTACATTTGGAGCAGAGTTACTAGTACTTCATTGCATATGCTGCCTAGGAACCACCACTGTATGTAGATGTGAGAATACAGTTCATAGACCACGTTGAGTTAGAAATTAGGTAGTGGAGGTGGGTACATGGTGCGAACAATAGAAGATAACAAAGTTTAGATCCTATGTAAAATTATTCAGAGATTTTGATTTATTGAAATTAATTTTAATCTTTGAATTCTGAACCACAACACTGATATCTTATATTCCATTTTATATCCAGGAGAGAAGATAAACTTTACTTTAAAAGTTGATGAGCTTTGACCCTAACCAGGGTGGCTCAGTTGGTTGAACATCATCCTGCAAAGTAAAAGCTCACTGGTTTGATTCCTGGTCAGGGCACATGCCTGGTTTGTGAGCCAGGTGCCCAGTTGGGGCGTGTGTGAGATGCAATCAGTCCAATGTTTCTCGTCCGCACCCCTTCCCTTCCTCTCTAGAAATAAAATCTTAAAAAAAAAAAAAGGGGGAGTTGATGAACTTTTGTTTTCTGAACTGTAAAGTGATACACACCAGAGACACTTGTAAGAACCAATGAGCTAGAGAATGTTAAAAGCTTGGCCTAGTACCTGCTTCAGACTAGAAACTCAAATAGCAGCTATAAATCTGTTCCCAAAAGAATTTCATGAGCTTTTTCTCATTTTGGTTCTGGGATAATTCTTAGGATTGTATTCCCCTCTGGCATACACAACAGTGATTTACATTCATCTTTATGCATTTGTTACCTCACAATAATTATTTGCATTTGTATTTTTATTCTAGGACTTTTAAAGATTTGAGTGATTTTTCAGTGGGGTATTTAAAAGATGTGAACCAACCTTGCTTGGCCTTCTAATTTTTTCATGCAATTGAGAAGTAGCCTTCCTGCTGGTTACATGTCATTTCCTAGGACTCCTCATGCTTTGCCATGTGCATGGTAGTTATGTAGTAAATATTAAGTGGAAAAATCATGAATTTAACTCTTAGCATGATGTCACTACACTGCAACTCAGCATTGTGCCCCCCTTGACATATGAGCTGGGCAAAGATAACATTAACAAGGCAAGGACAACCAACCACTTACGTGTTTGTCCATGGAATAAATCTGGGTGTCACTAGGAATATGGCCTGTCTGTAGTCTTGAGTTAGTTTTTGAGATCAAAGGGGATGGTCAAAGTGAAACACCATTTGCTTGACAATTCTCTGCTGAATTTATTTTAGTTAACATGTAGATACTTGTTAGCCTGTGCATTTTATTTCCAGTATCAAGCTCAAAAAAGTATCTTGGCATGTGATTCTGTTATTTCTTGACATATACATAAATGGATTAAAAAGTATGTTCACCTAGAAAAACTGACACCAGAAAAAAATGCCAAACACGTTTCAGTGAACTTAGATTTCCTGTAAGGTAGAAGTAATACACTGTCCACTTATATGCCCATGTTTCTGACTCAAGCTAAGGGGCTGGAAAAAGAAACTTGGAAGAGTCCCAAGTGAATTTTGGAAGCCAGAGCAATGATGAAACCTAAGACTTCTCAAATAGTTTTAAGTGAGGATAATCCTACCTGGATAGTGCTTTTCTATGGGTTTCTCAGCATAAGTCCAAACCTCACAAAAGCACCTTCAAAGACTGGGTTGCCCAGTGTCACAAGTATGGCAGTAGTTCCAACAGGCTGGATAACACGGGTCATGTAAGTAACAATAAAAGCAAATCAAGGACCAGATGCTGAGATTTCTCCTTGTGTCCCATGGCTGGAAGAGTAAGTACATAAACTTTAAGTAGTTTTCCGCTTCTTGGCAGATGGCCGTTCAAATACATCTCGTACCCCAGCTGCCTTTTGTTTAAAGAACTTTGTGTTCTGGGCACTTTCTTGGCCCCATGCTGAATCAAAGGACGTCGTATCCTGATCCACAAGGTGGGTGTATTTGGTACGACCAGAGCGCCCAAAGTTCTTGACCTGAGGGAAGAATAGATGATGAGTTACAATACCAAATGTACCATGTCCTAGCCCTCAATATATTACTTTATCTCATGTTATTAAGGTACCCCGTACCTGCATGACTTTGGGAAGAATGGTTTTGTTGAAATGATCCTCCAGGGTAGGTGCACTGAAATCTCTCTTGTATACTTCTTCATCCTCATCCTGCAGAAAAGAGTCTTATCAACCTTTTGGTTTTCTTTGCCATATAGTCAAATTATAAACTTATGAAACTATGACGAGGCATACAAAAAAAGCCGAGGATGTTGAACCTTCTATTCAGAGCATACATATAGTTGACATAACACTCCTTTTTTCTTCTATGTTCTCTCTCTTCCTAAGTGTAAACATTTCCTGAAGGCTTGCTATATTCCCTCTGCATTCACTATGTTCATTCACTCATAATGACTTTAACTCTGTTATAGGACTTGCACATCTCTGATTCTAAATTTTCTACTTCCCATTAGCTTGAATAGTCTGTTGGGATTTCAAGCTTAAATCTAAAGTGAAAATCATTTTCCCAACCTTTCTAAAATCAGTTACTTCCTGATTTAACTTTTTCTGTTAATAGGACCAACATTCTCTCAATTACCTGGATTCAAAATTTGAGTAATCTTTGTGCAGATTCAATCAGTTGCCACTTAAAATTCTCATCATTTGGGTTATAATAGTTTCGCCTTGCAATCAATCTTACACACTGCCAGTGGATTAATGTTTCTAAAACATAACTCTTAAATCTCTACCTTGCTCAAAAAGTTCCAAGGTTCTCTTCCATTTAAGAATTTTTTTCTTTTTATTTATAGACTTGTCAGAGAGGAAGGGACATAGAAAGAGAAACATTAACTTCTTCTAATTATTTATGCGTTCATTGGTTGAGTCTTGTATGTGCCCTGACTGGGGATGGAACCTGCAAATTTGGCACGTGAGGACAATGCTCTAACCAGCTGAGCTACCGTATTTTGCCATGTATAATGTGCACTGGCTCCCCCAGCCCCCAGGTTTTGATGGAAAAATAAGGAGGCATATTATACATGGATATAATTATTACATACCATGGGTATAATAATCCTGTGTATAATGTGCACAAAACTGTGGGTGCATGTTATACACAGGTGCACATCACACACCGCAAAATACAGTAACCAGCCAGGGCCTCCATTTTATTAAGCAATTCCTCTGTAGTAGTCAAGGCCAAACACTATATATAGCCTTAATCTACCTCTCCTTTCCACTTTCCTTTACAGATACTTTCTGCCTCTACCCCTAGTGCCTTCATCTGGAATGTCTTCCTACCACTGAATGTCAGAAAATCTATACATTAAATGTCACCCTCTTTATATTATGCTTTTCAGTCTTCTCCCAAATATAACATCTCCCTCCTTAAGTAGTCCCACAGTACTTTTCACTTTCCTTATATTATATATTTGCCTTACTTTCATTTTTTATAGTTAGCCTTCTGAGTGCTAAAGAGTAGTGTCCTTTACACAGTAAAAGCTCAAAGAGTTATTAACTATATAAAATAACTACAGAGAATAGTTTCAAATCAACCTATAAATAAGACTATAATTATAAGATACAGATAACAAACATGTGGTGAAGGCATTAAAAGAGCACACATTCTTGATTAAGGAAAACTTCCTGAGAGCCAAGTCCTTTAACTAAACATACTTTTGGAGTATTCCCTTCACTATAGAGAGGCCCAGTTTAAAGGTAGGACAATTGAACTGTTTTTGTAAGATCTACTTTTCTCATGTTCAAGCCTGAGAGTTCCTCATTTAATCTCAGAAGCCATTTCAACTTCACTTTCCCTGTCTAGATGGAAGACTTGGTATTTGAGGATGTGCATTAAGACATTCATATAAACCTTATGTATCTTAGCCAGCTAGTAATACACTTCTAAAAGAAGCTGGATTATTAAAGCTGCTGAAATGCTTAAGCAATACTTCATGATTGAAGCAATATAATAAGTAATTCATAATTTCTACCAACTCCTATTTAGAAAAACTGCATAAATAAGCAAACATTTCCTGCTGAGCAAATAGACACACTGGTTTTGGAGAGAAGTAAGGAACCCTACACTGAAGTTTTTTTTGTTTTTAATCTTTTACTGGTATCTGCAGTAAAAGGCAGGAATTTAGCTGCAGTTGGAATATTTAGGGTCTGATATACAACATTTAAAAATGCTAGTCTAAGTTTCTGATACAGACTCCTCTAACAAGAAATAATTTAACAAGCTACATGGTATTTAAATAAATGCAATCAATGTTCCCTTTCCGACCATCTCTGTATTAAGAAATGATTGGTGCTAATCCAAATAATTTGGAATAAGTCATTGTCACTTTATATAGGGTTAACAGACTGATATTTTGATTTTGGTCTTTACATAAAAAATATGATGATGGCATTATACATAATGATTAGATAATTAACCTTTTTGGTGTGTTAGTTAGGTTAAGTCATTTTGTCAGCTCAGAATGAAGTGAACTGAACTTCTGCCATGCAACTCTAAGTTCATGTGTAACTATTTGCAGAGCCTGGTTTTTGCATAACCAGAATTTCTTACTTGGCTATGAATAATGAGATCTAAGTGTTTTTGGGTACCTAAAATAGTCTAGCATCTATATAGATTACTATCTCTCTATTTTCAGTTCCTCAATTCTTCTATTACATCATTTCCTCCTTCTGGGAACTGGGGCCAAAAGAGTGAACCGTTTTAACTTCTAATATCCTTTTGCCAATACTTTTCTCTGTTGGGTTTATATTTTTCACAGGCAAAAAGCAAATGAGAAAGTTGACCACTGGCAAGTGGAAGTAACATTCCAGAACCAGTTTATTCTTGGGGGGGAAAAAGATTTCAGAGCTTCTGAATTATTCCTACTAAACAATTTTCCCTTCCCCTTTTCACATCTTACCATGAAGAAGGCACCCCGGTGATAATACTTCTGTAAGAACTTGTATTTGCCTTTAACAGCTTTGTTGGTAATAACTTTGCCATTGGCCCGAAGCTCAGCTCGCCTCTCTTCCTCAGTCAGGTTTCGCATGCGTTCAATTTCTGCTTTCTCCTTCTCAAGCCTGTTCAGAAAACAAAACAAAAATCATTCCAGCTTCAGAAAGACCTAATTATTGGAGTGTAACACAGTCCTATCTCCTTTCAAGCATTATTCACCTTTAAAAAAAATTGATTGTGGGGGGGTAAGAGATGACGAGAAAGAGAAACATCAATTTGTTCTGCTTATTTATGTATTCACTGGTTGCTTTTTTGTGTGTGTGTGGTTGGAAAGGTATTTTGTTTTTTATTAACTTATTTGTTAAACTTTATCCAAAGAGTTTACACAAACATCCAGATTTCCAACTCCTCATGAAAAATCAGAAGCCATAGCCAATCAAGGCCTGCAATCCACTGTCTGCTAGATCTATGTAATGGCTGCCCTTGATAGATGGGCCTGGTGCTCTCCTGTATACTATAGCCCCTCCAGGCCCACTGTACTCATATAACTTCCCTGCCTGGTCCTGGAAAGCAACCAAGTGTGTCACCTCTGGCTTAGACAAGGGCCTTTTGGGATATGTGGGCTACACTAGTGAAATCCACCTGTAGCTTCAGCAATTAAGGGGGAATTCTGAAAGGAACTGGCTATTTCTAGGAATTGCTCTTATAGTATTTTAGCAAACCATGTCAGATATACTCATAGCTTTCTTATTAAAAAGTAAGCTTTGTTTATCACTGATTACCATTTTAGGCAACTTCTACAGAAGGCAAACATCATTTCTGTATGATTCCATTTAGGACAGCACCTCTGTGCCAAGGCATTTGGTTGACTTGTAGTTGGCCTTGGTGTGGTTCCAGTCAATTTAGAAACACAGTTTAATGACTCATTTTTAACCTCACCAGCAATGTGAATGAGAGTTGGTGAAGAGAGGAAGCCAAGCAGAACCATCAGGAACTTTAGGCGGGAGTTCTGGGTACCCCTTTCCCATGGGTTGGGTGGGGTAGGTTCTGTGAGGCACTGGTTGCTTCTTATGTGTGCCCTGATGAGGGACTGAACCCCCAACATTGGCACATGAGGACAGCACTCTAACCAACTAAGCTACCCAGCCAGGGCCTATTCACTTTTAAAGTTCTAGTCATTGCCTGTTAGGAATCAAGATCAGGAGCTCAATAATAAAAAGGCAAGGTGGTCTTCATTATGCTTGCAAGATCAGGTATTACACACTTCCAAAAGGTTATTCCAGCTTTTTTTGAGGTTTAGACATAGTTACTCTTTAATTTCACAACATTACCAATTCCCTAAAAAGCCTCTTAGCTTAAAAAAAAAACCCAACGTTTAAAATAACTGTGTAACACTTAATTTTATATCTACTTGCATGTCACAAACCAAGGATTACCATAATTAATTAGACTGCAGTGATTTTGGGGGGAAGAGGGGGTAGTCACAAATCCCCGTTCTCCAGAAAAATGCAAATATACACATACTTTTGCGTATAATTTTAAAGGGTATGTAGATAAAAACCTCAGAAACTGCAGATCAAGGACAGAGTTTTCTATTGATGGTTTCCCACTGTAACCTGGGATTACTCTTTCATTCCTAGTAGTTTTCTGGAATGGGTGAGGCAGCTCAGAAATGATTCTGCTCTAACATAGTATGTTAGATTATTTAAATGCCACAAATTCTTCCACTCACAGTATGCATGACCCTTTGCAGAAATGACATGTGAGCCTCCTGAGATTTTGCCAGCTTCCACCTTTGCACTCTTGGGACCCTGCCCCAAGACTGTTACATAAGGAAGCTAGTCTAGCCTACTGAAGAAGGAGAAGGGAGACATTCTAGCTGATAGTCCACACCAACTACCAGACATGTGAGTGAAGTAATTTTGGACTTTCTAGCCCACTTAGTCCTATAGTGGGATGCAACTGTGTTAAGAGAGCCCAGGTAATATCAGCAGAGGTATTGTTTGGCCAACCCTCAAAACTGTGAGAAATAATCAATTATTTTGGGTCACTTAATTCTGGATTGTGTTGTTATACAACAATATATAACTGATAGCAATAACTTGTGTGTGTCTACTAAGAAACTAAAAGGAGTATTAGCTGGCGCTCATATCATGGAGCAACACTGACAAGGTGTGTTTCTTTTCCCTGATTTTAACAGCCACATTCCAATTATGTAAACTCACCCAGTTGCAGGAACCATAATGAAAGCTAGAATGGAACTCATAGTAGGATTTAAGCCTCAGAGCTATTCTACTAAAAATCTGTCCCATTAGCAGTATTAAACTCTAGGACCATTACTTACGCTTCTCGATCTTCTCTGTCCCTCTTGATTCTCTTTAGCTCCCGAACTTTCCATGCCTCATATTCCTCCTCATCATTTTCATCGTCAGTATTCAGTGCATCCAGTGCAGCCAGGGATCGCTTGTTCTCCTCCAGCTCTTTCTTGGTCTCCTCTTCTACAATCTGGATAGGGAGAACAATTCAACTGTTGAACTTCCTTATTCTCCTCAGACAAACTAAGTACACTACTCCTTGCACTCAATCTTCACAGCTGCTCCCAGTACCTTGAGTGTGTACTTGCGCCTCTCTTCAGCCATGCGTTTTGCCTCTTGCTCCAGCTCCTTCTGTTTTAATGCTTCAGCCTCACGTTCTTGAACTGTTACTCGGTCCTTCCTGTGGTAGAGAGGTCCTGTTAATTTCCCAAAGCTCTTACAGTATAACTCTGTTCCCCTCAACCAAGTCCTGTCCAAATCAGACAATCACTGGCTTTATTATTTGCAAAGAGCCAAAAATGGGAGTTGTATCAGGTCTTTAGAGCATCAAAATTCCATTCATCTTTGAGAACTGGCTGAATAGTAAGGAACCTGTTAGAGTGTAGTAGTAGGATTTCTAGCCATTATGAGAAGAATAGGAACTTGCTCTTTAAGCTTAATTTTGTTTAAAATAATGTAAGATCTTGGGCAGATATATGTTTTTTTATTGGAGAAGGAGATGTGAAAAGCAGCTCAGGCTATCTGCTAACACCAGGATACTCCTCAGCAAATACCATGCAGAACTAAGGCATGCACAGAAGACTTTCACTTAGTGCTTACATTTCAGAAGAGCATGACATAGGAAAGAGACGTCTATCGTCAGACCTGGAAAATAGAAACTGTAGATTCAGGACTGTTTGTGAGATACTTACTTTCGAATGAAGACTGGCTTCAAGCGAGGCTCCATCTCATCTTCACTGTCTGTGTATTCTTCATACTCAGACTCTGATTCTGACTCTTCCCCAGAACGTCCCTCATCTTCCACTTCCATGACTTCCATTTCTTCATTTTTTCTCTCCTGTGCTCGTTGACGCATCATGCCACGACGCCGTTCTATTTCCTATCAAGTCATATTTCAAAGCCAGTAAGCCAAATGGGCTGTGCTGCTAGGTGGCTTTTTATTTTCCCCTCATCAAGCTCAACAAACTTTGATCTGAGTAAATGTAACGTAGCACCATTGTATTTTCAATCCTATCCCCAAAAGAGAACCTTGGTTCAGAGTTCTGCCAGAAGCAGCAATCTCCCTTTAGGGCTTCAACAAAGAAAGCAGCACAGGTCCCAACTTTTTCTTGTACCTGGAAAGGATTTCCCATTTTATTTTACTGTACCTCATCATCGATTTCTTCTTCTTCTTCTTCACTGCTATCTTCTCGTTCCATGCGCCAAGCATCTCCTTCTACTTCTGAGTCACTTTCTCCTACCACTTCAGGTTCCACTATTTTCCGATGTCGAGCCAATCTGAAAAACAGTATCTTCGAGTGTTAACACCTATGCTACAAAAACGAAGAAGCTTAACTACATTTCTCTAGTCACAGAGCACCTGGACATTATGTTTGCTTTTATTAATACTGAAGTCTTGACATGGGCAAAGAGATGCCCATTAAAGAAGGTAATTCAAAGTGTCAAAGCAAATAGTCAAGTTGGACCTAAAATATTAAACGTAGGCTGAGGCATGCTGGGGCACTGCAAGAGACTTATATGGGTGCACTGGGATATATTTTATAGCTTGAGGTAGTTCACTGTTTCAATATAATATCAAGTTGTTTCCTTTCAATGGCATCTTATATTTGTGAAACTGTGTTTTTCGTCACTGCTATGACAAACAAAAAAGCAAGTACCACATGAAAATCATTTTGGAACAGAAAATGAGAGTGATAGTGCCAATTTGATTCCAAGGTTTGAGAGGTGGTCAGTGTCTAAGAGGCACACAAATCCTATTAGTAAGTAAATGTAGTTCTGTAAAAATGAAGTAAAAATGTTTTTTATTTTATGCATATTACATTTTTGAAATGGCTAAGTTGTTAAGACATAAATATATATTAAATTTCTTAATCAAACTCCTTGATAAAATAAACAGAACTGTTTGGGTCTAGGGGTTCTGTGAAAAAATTCCCGAGACAGTATGAACAATGAAAGTTCAGGACTTCTGGCTTACACTGTAAGATAATGTCTCAATTAATAACCCAATAAACAAAATCCCTGTTGGGAGGCTCCCCTTCCTACATGAGACCATTCATCAGGCCTTTTTCCTATGTCAATGTCATTTCCCTTCATTAGTCTTTAGAGTAAGGGGATAAAATCAATGTCTCAACTTTTATAAAACATCTTTATGTTAAAAAAACTCCTCTTAACAAACCAACCAATGGTCTGTGTTTTCTATTCTATTAATGAGTTAATTTGGGCCCTTGGACCAGTGGTAACCTGTTGTTTACTGGCTGCCACTTAATGGCTGTATAACTTTGGTCTTGTTCTTTTCCTAAATCCTCTGTTACTCCATTTTCTCATTTGTAAAATGGCTATATTATTGTGTGGATTATAAGAATTAGTAAATGTAACGTACATAGAATAGTGCCTGGCAGGTAGTAAGTACTATTCAGGTATTAGCTATTGTTGTTGTTCCTATTAATTATAGGGTTCAGGTCCAGAAAAAGATAACCCTAGTCATTACCTCTCTTCCACATCTTCGCTAATACGGTTCTGCAAACGCCGTAGCCGAGGGTCGCTAGATGAATCTTCCTCCTGTTCCTCAGGCTCTGCTTCTTGTTCTTTGGCTTTCTTAATGAACTGAAATTCTTCATCCTCCTCATCTGAGGACTCCATAGGGGCATAGTCTGGCCTCTTACCCGACACATAACGTTTTACCTTCACTTTTTCCATTGAAATTTCACCTGGGTAAGAAAGATAACTTATTAAGTTTCAGTAGTCTCTTTCCTAATGCCCTTAAACCATTGGCCTTTGGAGGTAGAGCGCTGTGTTCCTTGTACATTAAGTGTTTAGGAAGAAGAACAGAGCCACTACCCAACCATCTATTCATCTAATGAAATTTACCTACAAAGGTCAAGTCATGGGAAAGTATTCTTGTGAATACAAACACTAATGATAAAGAGGTCTAGCTTGGGTACAATGAAGTAGAAGAAGGTGAGCAGTGAAACAACAGAAAAAAGTCCCCCTAAACAGGCAGACTCTGGCCATCACAAAGTTATGCTATTCCACCTCAACTATACCCTTAAGTAAATTTAGTAACAGTGCCCAGCACACAGTAAGGGTGACTTAAGTGGGAACATAAAGTGAAAATGCTGCTCAGTCATTATTTTATTTCTGCTGGAATTTTCCATGGCACCCTTCAATATGCATATTACCACATAACTCAATTTTCTCATCTTATTTATTTATACCTTCTTTTAACTTATGAACTATCAAGCCTGCAAGTGTAGATAATCTCTCTTTTGCAAATATCAACAATTCCATTGAATAGAGAGCGAAAACTAACAAACATATTTTAAAAGATGAATATAGCCTTGACAACCAACTTGGATAATTCAAAGAAAAACTTTAGGTAAATTCAATTATGAACATAAATACAAAAATACTAAATAACATAATAGCAAATGTACTATGGCAATGTAAAAACTGAAAAACAAAAACAAAAACAAAAACAAAACAAAAACCTCTAAGCCATCATGACCAAATAGGATTTAGCCTAGGACTTCAGGAATGACTTAACCTTGGAAAATTAATAGGGCAAAAAGTAATGTGAGATTTAAAGTTTATACAGTTTAAGCCACATAATCTTAAAATAGCTACAAAACATTATACTTAATAACGTAATAAAACATTAAAAGAATTCTTTTAAAAAACAGCAGGAATTCCTACATTGTCTCTATCATTCCTTCCAGTCAGCATTTTATTATGGCCCTAATTAGGGTAATAAGAAAAGAAAAAGAGATAAAACGTAAGGCTTGAAAAGGAAGAACTGCCATAATTTTCACACTAGATGATCATCTACATAGAAAAAACAAGATAATGAACAAACTAATAAAGAATTCAGGAAGAATGCTGGATAAAAATAAGTGTACATGTACGTTAGCTATGTGTATAATTAGAAAATACAGTTTAAAATAGCATTTATAATAGCAACTAATCTATAAAATTTTAATGCAATTCCATTAAAAGCTGTTCCCAGGTAGAGCCTAAAATCATGTGGAAGAATAGAAACCAAGACAATTCTGAAGAACAAGGTGAGGAAAAAGACCTTAACAGATTCCTCACCAAAGAAAGTACAAAGATAGCAAATAAGCATATAAAAATGCTCCACATCATATGTCATTAGGGAAATACAAAATCAAACAACGAGATACCACTACACACCTATTGGAATGGCCAAAATCCAGGGCTCTGACGTTAAATATTGGCATGGGTGTGAAATAAGAGGAACTCTCACTCATTGCTGGTGGGAATGCAAAATGGTACAGCTTACACTTATCATACAGCAATTGCAGTCCTTGGTATTTACCCAAACAAGTTGAAAATTATGTCCACACAAAAACCCACACACTGACATTTATTGCAGCTTTGTTCATAATGGCTAAAACTTGGAAGCAAAAAAGATGCCCTTCCCTAGGTGAATGGATAAACTATGGTACATCCAGACAATGGAATATTCTTCAGCACTGAAAGAAAAAAAAAAAAAGATCTATCATGCCATGAAAGAAAAGACATGGAGGAGCCTTAAATGTATTTTACTAAGTGAAAAAAGCAAATATGAAAAGGTTATATACTGTATGATTCCAAATAAGTAACATTCTGGAAAAAGTAAAATTGCGAAGACAGTAAAAAGATCAGTGGCTGCCAGGGGCTGGGTGTGTGGGAGATGGATAGGCAGGACACAGATTTTTAGGTCAGTGAAAATACTGTGTATGACACCACAGTGATGGATACATTTGTCCAAACCCACTGAATGCACAACATCAAGAGTGAATATTAATGTAAACTATAGACTTTGGGTAATTATGACGTATCAATGTAGGTTCATCAGCTCTAACAAATATTACTCTGGTGGGGGAGGCCATGCATGTGTAGGGGCCGGGGGTACATAGGAAATCTCTGTACCTTTCCCCTAATTTTGCTGTGAACCTAAAATTGCTCTAAATAAATGAGAAGAATAAAGTAAGGTGGGGTGGAAAGTTTTTTGTTTTTTAATATCCTTACCCGAGGACAATTTTCTCAATGCTTTTAGAGAGATAGAGGAAGGGAGAGACACATTAATGTAAGAGAGAGAAGAACCAATTGGTTGACTCCTGTATGTGGCTGGACCAGGCCTCAAACCCAAAACCTAGGTAGATATGTGCCCTGGCCAGGAATCAAACTTGCAACCTTTCGATCACGGGATGACCCTCCCAACCAACTGAGCCACACCAGCCAGGGCTAGGGGGTGGGAATGGTTTTTGTTTTTACATGGATCACACAGCTCATTTAGTTAGTAATTAATTTATAGTAATTAAAACAATATGTCATTGACTCAGGAGGTACATAAAGACCAATGGAACAGAATAGAGAGCAGAGAAACGAAGCTATGTAAGAACTTGGTATATTACAGAGTGACATTAAAGAGCAGTGGAGAATGGGTAGGCTAGTCAAACAATGGAGTAGTAGGGACAACTGGCTAACTGTAAGGCGAATAGTAAAACTGGATCTCTGACATTCACAAACAAAATATTCTGGATGGATTAAAGTTCCAAGTGTGAAAAACATCTTAAACATATACATCCCTACTGGACTGTAAGCTCCTTAGCCTAAGAGTCTGTATGGCACAACTGTGTATCTAATTCTATTTAGTATATATAAACACTAAGACGACAGAAAATCTTTGTAATTTGAGTATCTATGATCTAAGTGTAGGAAAGGATTTAATATACTGAACAATACAAACCATAAAAGACAGAATTGACAAATCTGATAACACTAAAACTAAAAACAGCTGTGTAACAGAAGACTACATAATTAAAGTTAAAAGATAAGCCAAAAACCCCAAACAAACAGGGAAATATTACCGATTTGAGAAGTATAAAAAACCAAATAGAAAATGGGTAAATGACAGAAACAGGTAATTCACAAAAGAGAACACCTAGAGAGTGGAAAAATATATGAACAAGATGCCTAATCTTAATAGTAATCAGGGAAATGAAAATGAGATATTTCACACCCATTAGATTGAGCGAAAATTAAAAAATCTGATAAAGTGTGTAGATAAATATATGAGGAAATAAACTCTTCATGCTCTTACTGTGGAAGACAACTGGCATTAGGTAGTTAAGTTGATGATGAACTCCTAGGAGTCTACACTAGAGAAATTCTTACACAGGTACACTAAAGAAATACCTTTAAGAGTGACAATTGCAGCACTTTTTGTAATAGGAGAAAAAAATAAGACAACTGTCCCTCAGTAGGAAATAAATTGTGATTTAATTATACAATAGAATTAATAAAGTTAAAAACGAACAAATTAGATCTGTATGTACCAAATGTTTAGTTAAAAAAAAGGCAAGTTGCACACGGATTAGGTATGGCGTACTTAAACCACCCCCCACTCCCCGATATTATTTTCCAAAATCCTTACTGAAAAAACTGACTCCTTATTCTGAGCACCCCACACACATAACATGTTCCGTGTTCCCTCTTCCGTCCGCACTCGTTGGAATCATACCCCCCCCCTTTTTTTTTTAAGATTTTATTTATTTCCAGACAGAGGGGAAAGGAGGGAGCAAGAGAGGGAAAGAAACATCAATGTGTGGTTGCCTCTCGTGTGCCCCTACTGAGGGCCTGGCCCGCAACCCAGGCATATGCCCTGACTAGGGATGGAACTAGGAGGACTGCCCCCGCCCCGCCCCCGCCCCACGGGGTTCGCGGGCCAGCGTCAATCCACTGAGCCACAGCAGCCAGGGTGCAATCCTACCCATTCTTTAAGGGTCCACTTAAAATGCCACCTTCTTCAAGAAGCTTTCTTTGATTACCTCAATCTGAAGAAATTATTTCTTCTCTGCTCTCACTGCGCCTGGTTTTACCTATGTAACAGGTAGTAGAGGGGTGGAAGACTTCTTTAGAATGTCCCAAATCTTCTAGAATATGAGTTCCTTAAAGTTAGTAAATATAGTAAAGGCACTATCTTACACAACTTTGTAGTCACTTTAATACATACAGTCACTGCGTCGATTTAAAGTTTAAAAAGTTTAATAAGACACTGTTCCTGCTTCCAGGAGGTTATGAGCTTATGAAGTAGAGGAAAATGAACACATTAAATAATTATAATGATAGGAATTATAAAAAGAGCATAGAGTGTATGGACAACAAAAGAGGGATTGTATCTTGCACGACGTCCTGCAAACAGTAGACATTCACTTTATGTTAGTCCAAAGAACTGGTGGAGGCCAAGGAAAGAAATACCTTTAAGAGTGACAATTGCAGCACTTTTTGTAATAGCACTTTTTGTAAAAGGGGTGCTTGGAGAAGGTGAGGACAGGTAACATAGGGAATGAGGAGACATAAGTGTTCCCACCCGCCACCCCTTGGCAACGCGATAGGAATGTCGAAGAACTAGGGAGAAAGGTCTTAAGGGTATGCGGGGTTGGGGTGGTCGGCCCGGGGTATGTCTGGAGTATGCTGGGGAAGGAACTGGAAAATCCGATTGGAAAACGGCTCCGCACAGTACCTTTCTCATTGCGAACAGGGACGGCTCCAGCCGTGGACTGGATAGGCGGTTGTTTCATGAGTGCGCTTGGGACCGACATGTTCATGGCTGTGGCAGTACTCCCGAAACTTCACTGATTCTAAACAGTAAAGAGCTACAACGTCAAAGAACAGAAAAAAAGAAAAACACAACTACAACGTCCTAGAACAGAAAAAAAAACCCCTCTTTCCGTAGAGGCACTGAACGCTTAAGCGCGGCGGATGGAAACAACGCTTACGACTGAGCTAGAGAAACCGGAAATTACAACCAGAGGATTGTGGGATAGTGGAGGACTCCGGGGGCGCCTACCTTAGACCGTCGAGGGTGTTACTGCGCATGTACACAATCAGCCCTCTAGATTTGCGTCTTTTAGTATTTGGATGCCACTTCTGGCGGTAAATTGCTTCCATTGGGCTTTTTGTTCTTTAAGACCTTTGCAGAGAGGAAGGTCAGAATTAAAGGTTTTGTTTGTTACTTTGGTTTGAAGCCGAGGAAAATAGGATAGTGACAAATAAGAAACTCTGGGGATAGTGAAGAACAGTTTGTCCAAATTGTTCAGAGTTCAGAATTAGAGTTTAATTGGGATAGAAAGCCTACGGTAGCACCTGATTAGCCCAGGTGATAAAGCAGAGTCGGTTGTGGTGCGGACACTTTGGTGACCCAAAGGCAGCTGGTGGTGTGATTCAGGCCAGTGACACAAACACACAATCCAAAAAGGGACCTGGGACAATACCTGAAATCTGAACACTCTCTTTTAGGTTTTCCAGTTCAATTTTTTGGAAACCTCCTATTTAAAAAACATAACTGGCTGGACAGAGTTTGTATGTAAGTCCCTAAGTATTAAGTACTTGCTGTGTTGACCATGCTTAGCTTTCAGAAAGGACTTTGGAATATTGTTAAATGCCTCGTGTCCTCAAGAAGCTTGAATTTTAAAATAAAAAAAGAGAAAATATATAAACATGCAAAATGAAAAAAAAAGCTTGAATTTTATTCAGAAAGTCTTCAAGGGCATACAGAATCATAACAGAAGCAATTGCAATTCACTGAGTTATGTAAAAAACCGGTTAATTGAAAGTCAGAACACATTTCACTATAGAACGGATTTTATAACTGTTGTGCTGGAGAGAGATGGGATGAATGAACAAAGTCTTGAAGTTGAGAAATAGTATGGTATGATATATCAGACACTATGAAAAGTTTGATATTACCAGTGATTTTTAAGTCAATGAGTGGTGAAAGTTTGGCAGGTATTAGGTCTTCGAGAGTCTTGCAGGTGCTGTTAATAGGATTAGTTTTCAAATTATTTCACCTGTGTTTTTTAACTGGACCTAGGTTGGGAGAAGAAACAAAGTTGGGCAAGTCTCCAGCGAAGAACAGTGGGGGACCCAAGTAACCAACCAAGGGAGCAGTTTTTGGCTAAAAAGAAAGGACCTTAATTTTATTGTATGAATTTATCAGCTCCAAAACTATATTGTAGAGCAAATAATTTGTTGGGAAGGCAATTGTTTTGACTCACAACAGCCCGGAGAACAGAAAACAAAAAAGTTTAATATGGCTGTATCTAGCTTTGGGCAGTCGCAGTATTGTAGCCAATGAGGTTTATCAAAGGCCCCACCATTGCTAGCTGAAGAAAAAAAAAAATACATACGGCTGCATCATAAGAAATGCAGTGCACTGGACTCGGATGTTATTTTGTGATACACAAGTTATTTGATTCATAACGTTTCCCAGCCTTTGGGCTTTGTAAGGTCATATTAGTACCTCAGTTAACTGGTGGGCAGAGGATCAGGCGAAATTTAAATCAGCTAAACGTTATCAGCTTTTGAAAAAATAAAAAATGCTCCCCTTTCTAGAAGGTAATACGGTAGCCATGGAACATAACATTCTGGTGGTGGGGTTATATGGAACCAGAGAGCCCAATGTAAACGCTGCAAGTCGATTTCAACTTCCTTTCTTTTCTGTATTTTAGGGCAGGGGTCCCCAACCCCCGAGTCACGGCCTGTTGGGAACCAGGCTTGCCAGCAAAGCTTCCGGAGCTCCGCCTCTTCTCTCCAACTCCATTCACAGCGGGAGAGCGAGCGAAGCTCACCTGAGCTTCAGGTCCCGTCGTTCCCCTGCCCCCCACCCCGTCTTCCGCGAAACCAGTCCGTGGTGCCAAAAAGTTTGGGGACCGGGGCTTTAAACCAACTAATTGAGTTTGAATCTTTTCTGGGCTCACACTGCAAGGCAAGGTTGTTTTTCCTCAGTAAAGCGCCCGTGTTTTTCAAAGCGAGATCCTGGCACCAGCGGCGTCAAAGCATCAGGATCCAAGGTCAAAAGAAACATGTCCATTCCGTCCATGGCATTAAGGAATTTGAGTTTGTGGAGAGACTGGTAAACTTGCTTCTGTAGGAGACGGCAGTACCTCGCCAGCGCGCGACCCCTCCCCTCAGCCAGCTGAGATCTGAGTCCGCCTGCGCCGCCCGCCTCCACCTCCCGAGGCCCCGCCTCCTGCCCAATATTGGCGGGAAGGCGCCAGCTACTAAGGGGCAGAAAGATGTCCGGGTTGTGCGCAGCGGCCGAGGAGAAGGCGGGCTCCAGACAGCTACTCCAGAAGGTGAGAGACGGCTTGTCGCTTTCGGGTTTGCTCTTACTGCAGTCTTCGTGAGCGGTCTGCCCGGCACCAGGAGCTGGCGTTCCGCAATTCCCTACTCCAAACTATTTTCCTCCTCTGGGGGATTTCGCCGTATGGGCTTTTCCGGGCTTGCTTCGAAAGAGAAGTCGCATCCCTGTTCTGGTTGTCCTCTACGGAATCGAGACGTTCAGCGTGGAGAAAGGTCCTTGTCAGCCCCCGAAATTGTGGCAGTGTGGAATCAGGACTCTACTTTTGCTTTTGCAGCAGTAATGTCAGCTTTCCCCTCTGGGAACAATTACAGTTACTTAGAAGCTGACAGGGTAGACTCCTCAGTTACAGATTGTAGTCATTATTATTATTGGTCTGTTAGACTCATGGGCAAGAAATGTCTCCCGTATAATGAATAATTCTATTTGGATTAATGAATTTGGTATCTAGATTTTGGATGGAAAAAATTTGCTTATAGACTATCAGTTTGGATTTATGCTGTCATTAGGAATTAGGAATTAGAGGAATTAGATTAATTTAGACAGCTCTGTAAGAAAAGGCATGGGACCTGGGATTCTAATACTTACTTTTCTTTTATTGGTCTGAATAGATGAATGAATATAAAGAAAACCAGAACATCTCTTATGAATCTTTGAGACCATTACAGACTACAGTTTTAGAAAAAACACCTAAGGTATGTCTTGTCCGCTTTTCACTCAGTGATTACAAGCCAGGTGAATTTAAGATCCCCAAATCCCTATTACATAAGAATTCTAACAATGAAGTGGCATGTAAGAAATGTAAGAAGACTGAAATAAAGAAAACTTTCACAAAGATTTTACTTCCAAAGACAAAAGTCACCACATCTTCTAAGGCAGAATCCACTCTGCAAAAATCATCCGTAGATGTTCATGCCGGAAATAGCAAACGACAACATGTGAGCACTTTGGATACCGTGATCCTCAGTGTTGATATGGAAGGCAGTCAGGATGGAGAGAGTGATGAAGATAGCACCTCAGGCCTGGTAAGAGTTTAATTACTACTTATCCAAATTTTTCTTATTTTAAAAATTGAAGTTCTGATAAGCTAAGTTTATCAAGGGTCTCTCTAGCTCAAAGAAATTATTTTTCCTAATTTAAGTTTAGTTGAAATTTTATAAATGTTTAACAGAGAAGTTTCTTGGGTTAATTTTGCTCTTGGTTTTGATTTGTTAAGGAGAGGATTGAGTTAATCCTCACTCTGCTTCCCCTTTTCTATCAGTATATTGCATTTATTTTTGAGTTTACTCATACTTCATGGCGTCTTGTTTACCTTTACATGTTTATTTATGTACAGTATACCAAAAGAAGTTTGACCTGTGGGACATAGGGCATTGAGTAACCCTTGATGTCATGGTATGAAAATCACCATTAATTGGTTGCATTGATGTGTTGAATAATATTTCCATTAAACACAAAAAGGAGACAAATGATGAGTTACATGAGAAAATCTATTAGCTCTCCTTAAAATAAGAGTTTGAATCAGTTTAAGAAATTAGGCATCTAATTCTTTTGGCTTTATTGTCTATCAGGAGTGCTGTACTTCATTTAAAGGGACAAGTTTTATGCAAAACTTGGTGGAACTAAAACAGAAAGTGATGGTAGGGAAAGGGAGATAGGATAATTGAGGTGTGTTGTTATGAAATAGGAATTCAATTTATGCTTTATTGTCCCAAAGGTAAGAACTAGGACCTATGCTGGGACAGTGTAGCTTAAATCCTAAGTACATTGGAGTGGGGAGGGCGAGCTGGGGGGGTTGGAAGCCCAAGTTTTAGGCATGGCCACTTCTAAGAAATCTTGTGCTTTTATGCAGATCACTTCTACATTGAGGGGATTGTATAAAATCCGTGGTTCTCAAATTTCAGCCTGTATTAGAATTAGAAGGCTTGTTAAAACTCCATTGCAGGGCTCCCACCACCAGAATTTCTGATTCAGAAATTTGGTAGTGGGTATAGAATTTGCATGTCTAACGTGGTTTCCCATAGACACTGATACTTTTGGTCCTGAACTGCACATTGAGAACCACTAGATTAGCTTCTTATACTGTAAGATTCTGAGCATACGAGGCTCATATAAAGCAGCTTTTAGTTTGATGTAAAGAAATAGAGTCAGAAGTTAGAACATGAGGTAGTGAGTACTAGAGATAAGCAAGAGGCATAAGTGCTCAGCATACTATTTCTTAGGACAAACTGAAAGGTCTAACATCTTTTAAACAACATTGCATTCTCTTGTTCTCTTTCCTTTCATTAATTAATTATCTTTTTGGAGCGAGATGACTAAGGCTTTGTGGTACCATGCTTTAGGAACAGTGTTTAGTGTATAAGCTTATTAATCTTTCCAAATGAAGGTAGGTTTTTGCCATATCACAAGCAAATCTTGGCTTTAAAGTCTAGAATCTTATTCTATTTTATGGAAAAATTTGCTAAATTTTCTCTCAGCTCTTGTATTAAATATTTTAAGTTTATTTCTTAACAGTTAATTTTTTAAAATTTTGAGCAAATTTTAGACTTAGAGAAGAGTTGCAGAAATATTACAGAGAATTTCCATATATCTTTCACCCAGCTTCCTCTTATGTTAACATTGTACATAATCATAGAATATATATCAAAC